AAAACTACCCCAAAATGTCTCTTAATTTGTGTCTTTAGCCTATTCTATTGTATTTATTTGTGCTACTTTTTTCAATTTAATTCAAAGATTGAAATCAAGCTTCCATACATAAACTCTTAAAACAAAAAACAAAAATAAACAAAAAATTACATTACCATTTAGGTAAGATCAATGTAAAAAATGTCTAAATATTTATATATTTATTTATCTATATCTATCTTAAACATAAAATAACATGATACTGTTTGATCAAGCTGTGCGACTGTTCTGACTTTTTTGCACATTGCATCAAAATCCTGTTTATTCTTTGTATGCATTTAGTGTACCTAAAATAAAAAGAGTTTTATATACAGGTTTATGGCTCTTAATTTCTTTGTATTAATTAACCACTAGTAAACTTATGTCCACTGTTCTTTTTTATAAATATAGGATTTGTATTACATCTTCATTATAGTCGAATCGAGAACCAAATCAGGAATCGAGAATCGAAATCGAAAATTGAATCGAGAATCGAAATCGAATCGAACTGAGAGCTTGTGAATCGAAATCGAATCGAAATTGAAATGTGAATCGATACCCAGCCCTAATCGCTACACCCCTAGTCATCACTCATCACCCTCAAAAAGATATTATTAAGAATATGGGTAACCAAACAGTTGATGGTCCCCGACCCGTTGACATCCATGGTATAGAAAATAAAAATAAACTAAATTTATACAGATTTGGAACAACTAGGGTGATCAGATGACAGAATTTCCATTTTTGGGTGGACTATCCCTTTAAAACAGACTGACTGTTTACTTTAATAACACCATTAAGTGCACTTGGTCAAAATGCCCATTTTACTATTCATATGTTATTAGAGCAAGAGATATTCATATAGAATATGTTCCCATACAATACGTCCTGTCAATCAGACAGCCCTAGGGTTTTGAATTAAATTCATTATTTTATTTTATTTTTTTACAAATTTTACAAAAACTACTTGTATTGACATCCCTATTTTTTTTAAGTTTATAAGGTCGAGGCTGGTCATTTTTGGATGATATTTGGCATATATGGACTAAAAGCTGGTGGAGTCTATAGGTTAGCCTCTGTTACAGTTGGCACTGGATATAAGCTTGAGACCTAACAACCACCAACAAACCATGTACCACCAGATGGTAGTTTATTAGCCTAACCGTCCGTCTCATGCTGGCATGACCTGATTTTTTAAACCCAACTACGCATAGAGAAATAAGGGTGGGAAAAAATGGATAGTATTTATTTTTCCCTATTGCTCTGAATGCAGGTTTTGTGCTTTGTGTTACTGTTATGAGTCCAAAACACTCAATGCGTTGACGGTTTAACCCATGCCTTACAAATTAGCTTTATGAAGCTTTATGAAGCTCATGACTCAAATCACAGAATTGATTATTCAGCTCTTTAGGAATTCATGATGCTGTCTTTTATTGGGATTTTTCTATTAGGAACAATCCTGAAAAGTTATAATAGACACACTTGTAATAGACACACTTCCAAGGCAATTTGGTCAGTGAAACCCCTGAAGCAATTCTCAAAGTACTAATTAACAAACCTCTCATTTAGATTTTAATCTCCATTCAAATTAAAATTGCTTGAATGTGCAGTGGCATGTTTAGTTAACCTCTTTCTTATATTCTCGAATCCCTTCTCAATCTACCAGTTTGTAGACTTGTACAAAATTTGGAAAAGCACATGTAAATATCTTTCTAGTGTCCGATTTAGTTGTCTAACGCTGCTCTCCCATTCCCATCTTTTCACACAACGGCTCTGTTCGACCCACCACTTTCATAGGAAATGATTTATTTCCTTCCAAGAACCTTATATCTCGCCTTGGGCACCATGTTAGTCAGGACCACCACTGACTGAACTGACTCAACAGAAACCAGTCAGATGTCATTTTATTAAAGACTCAAGTAAAACTGCACTTCGTAGGTGTTGCTGTTCATTTGGAACAGATACAACAGATTTCATTATTCGCTTAGTGGTAAAAAGAATTTGAAATATGCAAGCTGTGGTATACCATTAGCAAACATCTCGACGCCACCACCCACACAACTGTGAGTGACGTTTAAATGAATATGGATTCATTCAGTTTCCTCTAAATAACAATTCAACACAAATGACATCAGTGAAAACAGCAATTAAGAAAGCATCTGCTCATAGTGACATATGTTTGCACAAACTCTGCAATTCAGCTCTCCAGTCACATCACATTCATTTATATACCACTTTATACAATAGGTTTATTTTTAAAGGGATAGTTCACTTTGAAATTAATTTTTGGTGTGTTTTAGTTTACCTCAAGGCCATCCAAGATGTAGGTGTCTTTGTTTCCACAGTATTTTCAACTTTGATATTTTTAGGTCAAACCGTTCTTGTCTGTGAGTCATATAATGGAGGTCTATGGTCACCACCTCAAAGAGCATGCAAAGAGAAGTCCAAATTAAACATGATATAATGACTCGTAAATACATTGATGGCCTAAGACACGAAACGAGCGGTTTGTGTGAGAAAATGAACAGTATTTATATCGTTTTTACCACAGCCACAAAGCGCCCGTGCCCTCAGATCACTTAGACGTGGCTGTGGTTACAAGAGGTAAAAACGATATAAATACTGTTAATTTTCTCACACAAACCGTTCGTTTCGTGTCATCAGGCCATCAATGTGTACTTACATTTACGAGTCATTAAATCACGTTTAATTTGGACTTCTCTGTGCATGCTCTTTGAGGTGGTGACCATAGACCTCCATTATATGACTGACAGACACAAACGGTTTGACCTAAAAATATCAAAATTGAAAATACTGTGAAAAACAAAGACACCTACATCTTGGATGCCCTTGAGGTAATTGACAATAAAGCTGGCTAACTGACTAACAAAGCTAAAAACATATAAAGAATTAATTTCAAAGTATCGCTTTAAGCAAGCAGCTTTAAAACTTAATATTCTAATATAAAGCAGATGTCCAGAATTTTCATGTTTTCACTCGCGTCCGAACCCGACAAACATTAGAAATGAACCGGAGAAGATTTCCATGTCTCAGAGCCACATCACCACCACAGACCAATGGTAGTACGAAGGGGTTTACCAAGCTGAACAAACCTTTCCAGAAAGTTCGCTCTCAAACTACAGAAACAATCTCCAAACAAACTTCGTTTTGGCCTGATTTTGTTCAAAATACAACTACTAGTTCATACTGCGATTACACTTGAAGCATATAAGAGTCTAAACGTGTTTAGCGGACTAATTCATCCCAAACATTCAGGACTTTACACTGACATCTATCCACCTGGATCCACGATTGACGTTTGTTTAGTATCTCGTGCTGCTTCACACCTCATATGTTTGTTTGGTTCCTTTTCGTCTGTTTTAGTCAGTCTCATTGCACACACACACTGACTCAAGCTCTGCTATCGTGACTACTTGTTGGACATTTCATTTTTCCACTCATACTCATTCTGTTTGGACTGTGATCTGTGCCATCACTCCAGACTGTGCTGACTCATGCTTTGTTGTTATGTTGTGTCTGTAGTATATAAATTGTGTACGTTCAGCTTGTAAAATGCCTTGAGAACTGTCTGAAATTGCTATGTTACGTAAACACAATTCTATTAATGGGTTAGCTCACCAAAACATTAATTCCGTCATTAATTACTCACCTTGTCATTCCAAACCTGTGAGAATTTTGTTCATCTTCAGAACACAAATGAAGATATTTTGATGAAATCTGAGCACTTTCTGTCCCTCCATTGACAGCTGCGCAACTACCAATTTGACGCTTCAAAAAGATCATAAAATATGAATCGAGGAGTTAAGTCGAAATTTTCTGAAGGGACTCGATCAATTTATATGATGAACAGATTGAATATAGGCTTTTATTAACACAATCATTCATCAACTCACACACCAGATGTGGTAAGCCAACCAACGAAGGTATGTTCGCTTGACGTGTGAGAACCAATGAGGTTTGTTCTTGCGCGTCAAGCAAATTCGGTTGAGCTTCAAGTTCGCTGATCGATGTTTATATGTGAATAAAAGCCTCATTTCAATCTTTTCATCATATAATATCGAGTTTTACGATCTCTTTCACAATCTGTTCAATTGTGTCAATTCAGAAAATTGGATTAGTTTTATGATCTTTACGAATGTTTTGAAGCGCCAAAGTGGTAGTCGCGTAGCTATCATTGGAGGGACAGAAATCTCTCAGATTTCATCAAAAAGATCTTCATTTGTTTTCCGAAGAGGAACAACAGTCTTACGGGTTTGGAACGACATGAAGGCCAGTAAATTATGACAGAATTATCATTTTTCGCACTCATCTCTATTACAGAAAATGATCATAAAGTGGCCATTTATGAAAACAGCTTTTTTCTCTATACTGATGTCACATCTCATGTAAGTGAACATTTTTATCATATTTCTCAAATGTGCTGTTAACATCATAATTTCAGAATGTACCTTTAATTTATTTATCTGTAAGAATCATGTCATGCCAACTAGAAATGCTTTTACGTAAAACCTAACTGATACTGAAATCATTTGTTATTTCTAGATTTTATAAATCTGCTTTCTGTTTTTCACAATAAATCTCCAATTTTTTTAAACATAGGCTAGAGAAGATTGAAGTACGTTTTATGAAATTTTAGATTTTGGAATTTGAACTAAATAAATTATTATTATTGGCAACAGCATCATCATCGTTGTTATTGTTAAGATTTAACTAGTATAATAAACTTTTCAAATGGACCTCGTTAATTTTTAACCACTTTAAAACATGGCACGTGCTAGAGTTCATATATATTGTTTACACGAGCAGTTTTATCATACGGATGTGAACACTAGATAAAGCAAGTGCCATTGTTTTTAGTTTTATTATTAGCTACAGAATCCTGTCCAAAAACAAAGTGACGCTAAAGCTAGCAATTTGTTAACTTACACCTAAAAAAGTGACATTTGTGGAGCTGAACTCACCAGATTTCGGAGCGAGGACTCATCCATGCTGGAGTATCTCTTCTCTGACATCTTCTCCGACGTTTTATTATCGCTTTGAAGGGCTAGTTCATTGGGTACGAGTGTAAAATAGTTGTTAAATAAACCGTCATATAACGTCACACATAATAGACAGGCTCACTACGAATAAATTAAAGAAAGAGTAGGCTCTAGGTTCGGATGGTTTGTGAGAGGCTCTCTAATAAAAACCGAACAACCCGACTGTGTTACAGCCTAAAAACGATAAAATATCCTCGTTATTTAATGGCAGTCGTTTGTTCCCATACAAACTCCAACCGTTTCACGGTTCACAGACAGACAGACTACATGCCTTCGGAGTCACAAGCGGTGAGTGATTTGAGTTGAAGCCCCGCCCCTCATACACCGCCAGCCAATAACACGCCGGCAAATTCAAAACCTCACACGCTCAAATGAGAATGTTACTCTCTAATTGGTGTAGCAAATTATTACATTGTTTGTTTGTTTGTTTTTTCTTTCACTAGTGTATAATTTGTCACTCACTGCGATCTGACTACTATGAAGACTATCATAGTTTCTTTTTCTCATTTCACTTAATTTCCTCCACGCCCTGTCTGTCTGCTGACTAAACGAATTGTGCAATGAAGACAGAAGCCACTCACATGGCCTGCAGCAACATAGACAAACTACAATAAACATTATCAAAATAGTATGAAGAAAATAGGTAAACATGTTATTCATTAAAGCCCAGTGGCCGGTTGCATAAGCTGCTTAGACTGGTCTTACAAGTTAGTCGTCTAACATTTTCTAAATCACATAAAAAGGTAGATTGGTCTAATCTGAATCCGAAAAGACTAATTAACCTTATTTGCTACATGGTCAGATCTCGTCTAGGCTAGTTCTTAAAGTGATAGCCCCCCCCCCCCCCCCCCCCAAAAAAAAAAAAAAAATTTGTTACAGGTAAAAAAAAATTGGGGTTGTCACCTGGTGGCTATTTTGATAGTCACCAATAGACAATTGTTTTCAATTGTCCACCAAAGCGTTTTTCCACTCGCCTGGCGTATGTTTTCAATTGTTTTCAATGGTAGCGCCGCGTTTTTTAAACGCCATGAGCGTACCGAGGCGCTGAGCGTTTTTTTCACGCTGACGCACCGAGCACCCAGCGTTTTTTACTGGTCGCCGAAAGTTGAAAAATGTTCAACTTTGGATAAAACGCAGCGCTCATCACTGTCACTTCTTACCGAGCCGTCCAATCACAGTGGAGGAGGGGCGGGACTAATATACCACACCGACCAACTGTCACAACATTCTTTCTGTACACCGGCATCAACCAGCAGAGCTAACAGAACAACATGGATGAAAAATAATTTTTTAGTATGAAACAAATTATCTGCGAAATCAGTTACAAGTAAACTATGCTGCGGATATTCTGTATCATAGCAACGAAACGTCTCACTGCGCTGCGCAGACAAAACGCTCTCAAGCGGCCAAAGCACGGCGTCTTCAGCAGAGCGTCTAGCGTTTTCAGCTGGCAAAAAAACGCTTTGGTGGACACACGGCCATAGTGCCTAAACAAATGGTGCGTTCAAGTCATCTCGTAAATATCGTATTTACTAGTTGAACGCACGTTAACTACACCACGATGCCGAGTGCGAAACTCGGGATTCGATCTTGGGGTTGGGGGCGTGTCAGTAATAAAAATGGCAGAATACCACAATACCGAAAGGTATTAAGCAGTGATATTGTCAGGCTTTTCAATTTACGGCAGAATATGATGGTATTATAATTAGGTCTGTCAAATTAATCGCGATTAATCGTATCCAAAATAAAAGTTTGTATTTACATAATATGTGTGGGTGTATAATTATTTAATAAATATATAAATACACACACATGCTTGTATTTAAGAAATATTTTCATGTAATACAGATTTATATTTAATTTATATTAAATATATAAATATTTTATATATAAATAATATTTTTTGTATGTGTATTTATATAATAGAAAATAATTATACAGTGCACGCACATATATTATGTAAACACAAACTTTTATTTTGGATGCGATTAATCGCGATTAATCGTTTGAGATCCCTAATTATAATATGATAAATCTTAATAAATTAATTAAAACCATAAAAAAGTAATGCACATTTCTTTGTTCTTAATTTTTTAGCACTAGATTTTATGAACCTTGCAGTGTTTTTGCGACTTGAACGCACCAAAAATCTCATTAGAACTTCAATTTTTGCGATATAAACTTTAAATTTGGAACATACCTTGGAGTCCAAAATTATTTTGTACATGTGCTTTACAGTAAAATTAAACTTGTATAAATTTTTTACCCTTCCTTTTCACTGACAATAATCCGCTGAGGATCTTTTTTTAAAAAGAGACCAACCTTAGTCTGTAATCCAAAGCATTTATTAATTACAGATTCCATTTTCACATCAGTTCTTTTTCAATTAGTTATTACAAACACAAATTCTAAAACTTTGATTCTACATAAATATACATTTAAAATAAAACCTTTTGTATAAATATTTTTGGGACAAATACAGCTTGACTGCATGAAAAGTATTGTATTTTGTTTTATGTGTATTATAAATCCACCCTTTAAAAGGGATAGTTTACCCCAAAATGATCCATACGGCTCATTAATAAAGTCCTTTAAAGCATTTTTCTACGATATATTCATATTTATAATTTACCAAAAAAAATCACTGAGTTGATGTCGAGTGACCTCTGACCTAACGTATGACGTATTGATGACGCTGAAGCGCAGAGAATCGAGCAAAACAAAACACCACTCACGACTTGGACGTCTAAAACGAGATTTTTTTAAAGAGAAATGTGGGAGGAGTTTGAGTTTATTGAAGTCAGAGGTCACTCTCGCGCTGGAACTCAACTCACGTACAGCCGTTACCGGAAGCTAGTGATGATTATAGTTTATAAATATGGATGTTTTTCTTATACAAACACATGGCTTCGCTTCAGAAGGCATTTATAAACCCCTGGAGCCGTATGGATCTACTTTATGATGGATGGATGCACTTTTTTGGACTCTTCACTCCCATTATGAAACTTGGAAGATCCAGGGTATTTTATTTTTAATATTGGGTGAACTATCCCTTTAAATCAGCTTTTTGAGTCTTATGGAGTACTAAAGAATTCAGTATGGTCAATTTCAGTATTCCTAGTGAAAAATTCAGCATTGCTGGTATGTTTTGCATGCTGGGACCATCATGGGATGCTGGTTTACTGGTGGACCAGACACACCAGCTAGACCTGCATAATCCAGCCTGGACCAACGTGAAATTTTTAAGCAAATTTTCCAGCATATTGGATTATAGTCTGACGAGGTCCTGGACTGCGTCTTGATTAAGAGAAAGCAACAGTTTCAGATCGTCTGTGCATTGCTGGAATAACACCTGATTCTCACAGGTCAGTGGAGGATACTCTTCAGCACAGAATGACTCGGATGTCTTCAACGAGCCGGTGTTGTGTTCTGTGGACTGCACTGAGTGTGTCTTCAGAAGATCTTTTGCCAGTTTTAAGGCACACTGCACAATCACGGAAGGCATATATTTGTTGAATGTGTAGTCGGCCAGACTCAGTTCACACACTTTGCAAGCCAACCATTTCCAGTTGATCTCAACAGCTCTGTGCTCCTGCCATGCTCCTGTATCTGATATGGCTCCGCCGCTCTGGCGTCCAGTAAGGCGACTGGTGAAATAGTCCAGAAAGAAAGCCAGAGTTGGTGCAGCCAGTCTAAAATTGAGTCTGAGAAGGACCAGGCATTCGAGATTGCACAGCTGTTCTCTGGAAAACGAGTTGCAGCAAAGCGACAGGAGTTGTGTGATGCGAGGCGAATACACTTCAACCTGGAAAACACAATGAGCAGAATTTAGATAAAACTCTTCACATTCAATTATCATGAAAACAAATCTCAGAGAACGGTCGACTAGGTACCGACGTTTTATTAGACCAAAGGTTCATTTTGCGCCGGAGTTGTCCTTTAACCCTCTGGGGTTGTTCGGCCCTAATGGACCTGAAGAATTTAAATACATTTTTTTTTTTTTAAATCACAGCTTCCTCGGAATGGTCCGAAATTTGGTGACTTTGTTGGTATTTGGTATTTGAACACCCAAAAAAAGTGGTTGTAAAAAAAAATAGTCACACTTGGGGTGTTCGGGTCCAAATGGACCCGCATGGAAAATTGGCAAAAATGTGAAAATACTGAGTTTTATTGTGCGTACAATCTACAAATCAGCCACGATCTTGAAAAAAAACAGTGGAGGGGTGAATCTATAAAACATCAAGAGTGCAAAACAGACACATCCAGACACACACACAAACAAACACACTTTTATACACAAACACACCAAAAAATTCAGATTATACATGTGTTTTGCATTTTTAAAATGCTCAGTTTGTCCACCAGATGGCACCCATCTCATTTCAAAAATTGCTTTTTTGAGGCCTAGGCTTGACTCTAAAATGAAATACAGCTTTAAAAAAAATAAAACTTTTTTTTTTTTAAATATTTTGTCTATTATGTTCAATGGGGGGAAATTTTGTCATAATTATTGCATTAATACTAATTATAATTTTTCTATTTTTGAAATTTTCTCAAAACACCAAAAAAGAAAAGAAAAAATATTATAAAAAACGCGTAATAAAAAAAAAATCGTGAATCCATTTGGACCCGAACACCCCGAGTGTGACTCTGAAACGAACAACCCAGAGGGATAAGGGTGAGTAAATTATGGGTGAACTATCCCTTTAAAAACAATCACCAGAAACTGAGCTATAACAGTACAGTGAAACTGCCGAGGAAGCGAGCGCTGTACTCCACCTGCTTTGTGGCGATCAGTAAAGACGTCACTCCCAGTAACTGGAAGCAGTCTGCAGCGACTGAGGTCGTGATCAAGAAACGGTCCATGATATTCACCGCCAAACAGCAGGATTCGAAAGACAGTTTGAGCTGTCTGTGCACAGCTATGAGCCAGCTGACCAGTTTGCTGCGAGCCTCTGCCGTAATCTAGAAAGAAATCATGTAAATATTATATTACCAGGCAAGCAATAATATCAACAGGAAGAACAACACAGTCATAGAGGAGACTTGCTAGCTGGGGCTGCGTCCAATATTGCATTTTCCTAGGCTAAAAACGGTCTGTGACCAAAAAAAGGTATAAAGTACACTCATAAAAGAGCCATAAATGACCTATTGCTTATTGTGTGATTCTGAAGTGTATATGATGTACACTTTACTATCCCATGAGGCCACGGGAGAGGATTTATGAATGGCAGTGATGCAACTGACTCTTGTAGGAGGTCACACATGATAAAGACAACATGGTG